TTTGATTTTGGTATCTCCACTTTGTAAATTGCATATTGGGCTGTTTCTTTTTGCTAACAACCATGCATCTCGTTTTCTTGCAGTTGATATTTACTGTATTCCTTTCTTTCCTTCATTACCTTCTATAGGATTTTTGTAGTTTCCTATCAGTGTCTGCTACCAACACTGTGACATCTGTCTATCTTATGTTGTTAAAACTGTGGCCGCTAATATTGAATCCTGATGAGACTTCTCGGAATCACCTCATTGTACAGATTGAATAAGTCCGGCGAGAAGACTCATCCTTGTCTTACAACATTGCCTATTTTTGTATATCTATTGAATTCATACATAAAGAAAACTGTGTTGCAAAAATGCAAATCATCATTAGAGCTGTTTCGATTTGATGGCACGACCCTGCTCCTTTTCGGGTCTGCCAGGCCAATTTGTGTTTCTTCAGCACTCCCCAAGCCAATCTGCAATTATGCTGAGTATACCTTAGTTACAGTTCAAGTATTTTCCCACATACGTTTTTGAATTCAAAGTTGTCCTATTACGATTAAAATACCAATTTTTCCTGTTATTTAACCCATAGATGGGAGATCAAAATTTTTCCAAAGCTCATTTGTGGTAAAGTGAATATAACTCAGTTCGCTGATTTTTCCTCTAAATAAATTATAGTTTTAAATTTTACGACTATTATTTTAAAGATTAATTGTGACTGAAAAATTACAGACGGCGTTAAAACAATATAACTTACGAATCAATCACTGAATTTTAAAGTGGGATTTTTATTACAGAAGCTAAAATTTTTTTTTTTTTTTTTGAAACGCTGACGCGTGTTGGAATACTCACAGTATTTAGTAGTGTTGAAGTTATCGCTCACATTTTTGTCAAGATTTACACATTCTACGTTTCGTTCAATTTCGCAAACCAATAGTTGAAATTTGAATAAGCTGATTCGTTTGGAAAATACTTTGGCAAACACCCTACTTCACTGTTTAATTTAATTTTATAGGACTTCGTGGTAAACAATATTTTTTAAGAAAATTATTATTTTTTCTTTTTAACAACGAAGAATAAATTCTTAGGATTTCTTACTCTTGAGCATGCAATGTAGAACTGGGCATGCGTAGATATTTCTTTCTGGAGCCAAATTCCAACCTTTTGTAGGGTTTGGCCTTATAATTTGTTAATAGTTTTCACAAACGCAGGGCGAACTGGAAATTGATTTCTTGTATATAAAAACTCAAAGAAAAGATATGCAAAAACAATATTGCATTTTTGTTAAATACGTATGTTATTTAATTATTAAATTATTTTAAAAATAGTGGAAGTATTTTGTATGTTAAATAATAAAACTTTTAATTTTTCCAAAAATATTAATGAAAATTTATTGTACTATGCTGTCTAGTAAAACCCTTACCTGTTTGAACTTCTCCGCAAAATTTGATTTCAATTGGTCTGTATGGCTATTTTAGAGGGTGTGACGGACGGAAGTTACAGGATTTTATATATACGTATAGATAATAATAGTTTGTTTAAGCTGCCATCTTAAAGTAAGCATTGTTAACTTTCACGCCAATAAAAATGCATTTAGATCTTTTTATTATTGTACTTTAATGTCCGCTTATAATTACGAGGAGGCACAGTAGAGTAATGATTGAGGAGTCGGAGAGCCGAGTTCGAATTCCAGTCGAATTCATTTACATGCTAATACCCTTGGGAAAGGTATGAATCCTCTTCTTCTCCGAGCTATGGATAAATAGCAGGACAGAGCAGATTCTATAGCCTTGGATGGCAAATGGCAACCTATTGCGGAAAAAATCTGCCTCGTCAGTCATGTATCACGCATGGCACATAACTGACTGACTTATAATTGGTGTTTTCAATTTTCATGTGCAACAATTTATACTTAATACTTATCTTCAAACATTTTTTAACTATTTTTTTCAACTTTTTTGGAAAATTTCAGTTTAATCAATCTTGTTGATCTTTCTGGGTACTATTTTTAAATTTAATGAATGGACTCTTGAATGAATTATATTAAGAACCAAGTTTTAGGCAAGACTTTTTTCTCTTTTTGATTGCTTAAAAAAATAAAACTTATATTCCGTGCTAATAGGAATTTGGACTGGATAAACACGGTGGATAAATAGTAACAGGTTTATTGTAGAAACCAGTACAACAAGCAAGGAAGTAATGGTTATGCGCACGGTCGTTGCAAGTCAGTACAGTTGTGTGCGTGCTGCTATCGGAAGGCCGCCAGTTCTCGCAGATCCCAACTCGACTCTCCTGTCCGCTGTCCTAACGGATACTTATAGGTAGTTACCACCTATAGTGCCGCCACTCATGGGGGTGGCAGGTTATTCCATTGCATCAAAATCAAAAACACATTGTACTCACAGGATAAAGCAAAAACAACACACAAATTTACTTTTAATATTTTTTTATTTTAATTTGCGGTCATGGACGTATACAATAGCATACACAATAATAAATAAGTTGACTAGACAACACCCGTTGGCTTTTACTATGTATATATAACTTACACCAGAGTCGACAGCCTTCGAATTTGAAATGGTGATAGTATGAAAAAAATGCAGCTCATTTCTGGAGCCATAATAAGATTTATTTAAAAAAAAAAAAAAAATGGAGAATAGAGAATTTTCAAAGATTTTTTTTATTTTTAAAGTCGAACAAAATAAATGTAGTTCGGACAGTGAATTCTAAACAGAAATATACATTTTTGTATGAAAAAAAAAAAGTGGAGGGATTTTAAAGTTAAATGGGGAAACAGATTTTTTTCCTTTTATCATACATGCTGTGAACATTGCAGAATAGTGGCAATCTTCCGCATTACAAAAAAGTCCTTTTGCATTTTGAAAGACAAACCACACCACACACGTTATGCCGTAAGCTGAGAAAATACGCAACTTCGGTTGAAGTTTATTTTTTTTTCGAATGATACATTCTTCTGTTCATTTTTAATTCGATGGCTCTATTGCCATAGCCGCTTCTATATCACCATCATATTAAATCGAGTGAAGAAGTTATAGAAATGAACTTTAATGGCGTTTCAGACTTCCTCGTGAGGAAGCGGAAGGGGAGGGGAGGAGGGCGGAAGGGAAGAGGGAATTATAAGGGACTGGTCGGATATTACAACTATCAAGTGGCTGAATTCCGGCGTCTGTTTAAATAATTCTACCTCGAGGTCAACCAGTGAAGATATTTCCATTCTAACATAGCAGAAACACGTGATCAACTAGTCTCTCGAAAAGAGACAGGGAAAAAATGTTATTGTATCAGTTCATGGAGCGAATGGTTAGATTCTTAGTTTTTCATGATTATCGTAGAGATTTTTGTTTTAACAAAATTATTCATCATAACTGCATTATTTATATATTTAAAAAACAAAACAAAAAACACTTAAATATAAATTAAATAAAAATTAATGCAAAACTCATCCAAAAATTGTGAGTTAAGTCCTCTATAATGCAACTTAAATTCTCAGATGTCTAAAGTCTCAACTTTTTAAATCTTTTTAGTGTATAAGAATTGGTGAAATAAGAGAATAGCACTAATGCGTGGTCCAAAGCCACTGGCTTTGAGTGAGTGGGGGATGAACATAGAAATCAATATCCAACATGTATATTCCATAAAGGCCATTCAAATTAAAATGTTTTTATATATGAAACGACAAAAAGTCCATGTGGAATTTATCGCATGAAAAAGTTGTCCATAAACACGCTCAGCGCCGAAGAACGTTAATAACAGGTAAAGTAGCAAAAATTTTGTGAGTGCCCTACCCCAAAGTGTTGGAACTGAAAGTGTTAAGTAATCATGAGGCAGACTTATGAAACTCTCGCCATACCAAGTGATGCTATTTTATTTTGGTACTGTCAAAATTAACCTTATGGAAGCTGAAGAACCCAAGAAAACAAAATACTTCTTGGATACTTACGAAAATCTTTAAAAAAATTTAATATTACATTTTGGTAACATTTTTAATAGCCATTTGATACTTTTTATCAATAAAATAACTAAAAGTATCAAACTCAGCGTAAAAAAAAAAAAAAAACTGAAGCTATTACTGACGGTCTCTGAAACCCCAAACAACCGTGCTCTAATCTCCATGAATAATCTCAACTCTTTTAGAAATATCTATTTTTTGTATAGAAATGCAGATTACATATTTGCACATTTGTCGGTGCAAAATGAATTTCTTTTTTTTTTTCTTTTCGTTTTTTTTTTTTTTTTTTAGGAGCCACTGCAATTGAACTATGTTACGTTTTGTGTACGCCGGTCATTTAACTATTCTGTCTCGTTATGGGCAGACAGTGATGTTATCGCTGCATTGTACACAGAACCAGAGATATGACAGTAAGAAGGTGAACAAATGACGCTTAGTCTTGAGTCCAGAAGATCTGATATTAGGTTGGTGCAAAAATAATGTCGTTTTCTCTTTTGAAGTTGAACGTCAAAAAACGACATTTATGCACCAACCTAATAGTATTGTTAATTTCCGTATCACTCCAGAAACTAACTTCTGAGAAGACTGATTAAGTACATAGTACACTTTGTGTATGTGTGTTATAAGAGTCCAGGTGTTCGTATGAATATATATGACGTAGTGCGAATTTTATTTTTTTTAGTCAACAATGTCACTTTGAGCATGGCGATATTTCGCAACACGAGGATATGATCTCTCTTTCCCGTGAGTTCACCAATTCATTTGAGGCACAGAATCAAATTTAAGTCGAAATAAAGAACACTAAATAAATCTACATTTAATTATAAATTATACAAAATGAATGCAATAGATCTGGGGGCGGGTAGGGAAGGAGGTGGTAAGAGTCTGCCATGATGCTGTAACAAAAATAAATAGAATCCATTTTTTACGTAACCTTGATGTGTGCAAAATAATGAAATAAAATAATGATTTTTTTTTTTTTTTTTTTTTTTAGTTTTTGTTTTTGCTTTATTGTTATTTAGTTATTTATCTCTTTCTCTCAAAGTGTTCATTTCATGGTGTATTGTCCTCCTGAAATTGGCTTCCGTTTTTTCTTCGTTTCTGCGCATGTATGTCGCTGGAGCATCTTCTCCATGATCGTGCGAAGGTTGTCGTAACGCAAACCCCGACTGGCCTCCACTGCCACGATCTTCTGCGGAGACATGTAATACCATTTAGAACGAATATTATGTAACTGCTGTTTCAGTTTCTTCAACCCTTTAACTAAACGTTGCATCTTCTTGCACGGGCCGAGTTTTTTCTTCTTTTGCAAACACTGCAGGAGAAAGAAATAGAAATGAAAATAGACAACCATTTCAAAAGATAGCGTGTTCAATTAGGTTTTGTAATATTTCTTTAAATTTGAAGATTTGTTTACTTTGAATATAGGAAGTGAATAATGAAAGTAACTGTTAAATGACACTACTTGATTGATCTACTCGTAAAAAGACAAACAAAATAGGGATAATTTCTGTAGATTAACATTCAGTCGGTCTTCCTCAAGCGAGGACGTTTTCAGAATCATAAAATGTTGATTTTTATCATTTTAGAAAAGGGGATCCTATTCATAATCTAGATACAGTGTCAAATCGATCACTGACTTCTTAAAGATTTATCTGTAGTTTTTATTTACAAATGTCAAGCTTACGACCACATCACATTGAAATACCGGTTCACATACGATCTCCGTTGTTAAGCAACGTCGAGCCTGGTCAGTATGTAGACGGGTGATGGCTTGCATGTGCGGGTGGTGTAATGGGTAATGGCTCGAAACTGTTAATTGGAGAGCCGAGTTCCAATTCCAATTGGTTTCGGTATATTCACTTCTGCGCAAATACCCTTGGGAAAGGTGTGAATCTACTACTTCTACCCCCAGCTATGGGTTAATTAGTAAAACTTGTATTACTAAATCATTATTATCTAAAAAAACATACGATCTAAAAATATTATCTGCGTTTAAATAACCTGCAAAGGGTTGATAAACCGTAGAAAACAAATCAATTATAAATAACATATGTTAAGTTGGAAACTGTGCTTACGTCATTGATCACTGTGTACTACTGATATTGTCCTTTTTCCTAATTCGTAATCGTGCGCATTTTCGCTGCCAATGTTTCATTAACATTTTTACTTCATTTTGGGGCTGTTGCCTTTTATAGCAACATCGAGTCAATATATTCTTTATTTTATCCCTAATTATATTTTCTTCATTACAACACTATTCGGTTCCAAGAGTAGGAAAAGTTAACAACAGCCGTCGGAATCATCGAATCATTGTAAATTCCTCGGTCCTTTCCTTAGCTGCATAGTATGTACCTCATCAGCGCTTTATACGGTTTTGAATGAGTTGTCCTTCTTCTAGACTGGTTGTCAACCAAGGCTACAGAACGCAGTTCTCATATTTGGAGTTTTTTTTTTTTTTTTAAATTTAGGGTTGTCTTTCTCCTAGACTGGTTGACACCTTATGCTACAAGACCAAGTCTGTCCTGCTATTTATCTATAGGTACGGGGGAGGGAGAAGAAATGGATTCATACATTCCCCAAGGGTATTTGTATGTAAGTGAAAGTAACGAATCCGACTGGAATTCGAACTCTGCTCTCCAAGTAAATAAATAATTAAATAGATGTTTTCTTTTTATTTGGTTGACCGTAGTCGGGATCATCGAACCAATGCGAATTCCCCAATCTTTTCTTTAGGTGCATAGTATGTGCTTTACTAGGACTATATACAGTTTTGAATTTAGACTTGTCTTTTTCCTAAACTGGCTGACAACCAAGGCTAAAGAATCCAGACTATTCTACTATTTAACCTATAGATGGGTAGAAGAGATGGATTCATATATTTCCCGTATTTGCGTGTAAGTGGAAGTAACAGACAATACTGGAATTTGAACTCGGATCTCCGATATCTCATTCCAAACCGCTATCTATTATACTCTTGTATTTAGGGAAAAAAAAAAAAAAGGAAGTAAGTAAATAGCTTTTGACGAGATTTGAACTCGCATCATGCATCTCGTGAGCCCGTCATTTCAAAATAAATAAATCTACTATTAGTCAAAAGTAAAACAAAGATTGCCAAGAGAATCACTTTAAGTTAACGTTCTTAAATGACGGGACCCCGAGGTGTGAAATTGTTGTATCCTTATAGAGGTTACAAAGAGACAAAGGTGGTACTCGAATGAAGGAACGCGCGTAGATGAAAGAAGAGAGGTTTATTGTATAAGAGGATACACTACTGAAAGACAGAGAATCGGGTGGCAGGCTAGTAATTCCCGAAGCAAGCCCCCATGTATATCCTGTACTCACTATATATAGCTACTGATATAGTCAGTCCACATAGGCGATAGGTAGTGTGGGACATTCCATTACAACAGATATTCAGCTACCTTTTTCCTTCCATTTTCTGGCGATCGAAACATGTTGGGATCAAAAGTAACAGTTTTAAGATATGCTGCAGAATTTATGAAAATAAATTCAACTGAATTAGAACACAAAAGCTGTCTTGATCAAGGCAGCTACAAAGTTACATTTTATATAAGCTCATCTATCATATGTAAATGACCATAAATGCAAGCAACTAATATAGATATGAATATACACAATGATTGAGAATTTTACACCCAACCCGAAACAGAAGTGAACGTGTAATTGATTGGCAGAATATGAATTAGATATTATTAAAAGTTTATAAGGATTAAGAATATCCGCAAAGGTGTCTAAATTGAAAATCCTTAAAATCTTTCTCTTTTCTTCTAAATGATAGACTGGAAATTATTCACGTTGACAATTACGAATCACGCATATCAGTTGTTAATTTAACAATCAATCGTTTAATAAAATGTTTATTGACATTTTTTTTTATTTTGTTTTTACTGTGAAGTAACAACAGCTGTCCACCAGAACTTTTCTATCTCTATTCAATAGAGAAAGAAAAACGCTTCGGCATATTTTGGAAGTTTAATTATTTTGCAGTTAAGGGATCACATATCTGTGATAATCAAATTGGATTGCTAAACGAATGGCAGTCAGTTTGATTCTTATTAGGTACTCTTAAGAATTGGGTAACGTCGTCATTGTGTGTATCGGAAAACTATCAAAGAAAAAGAGAGACAAGGGAAAAGAATAGAGAGAGAGAGGTTTGGGAAAAGAGAGTGATTGAGAGAGAGAGAGAGAGGTTTGGGAAAAGAGAGTGATTGAGAGAGAGAGAGAGAGAGGTTTGGGAAAAGAGAGTGATTGAGAGAGAGAGGTTTGGGAAAAGAGAAGAGCGGAGAGAATAGAGTTCATTCATTCCCCGAACAGTTACAAAGAGAAAGGCATGATATCATTATTTTCTTATTAATAAACTGAAGTTTTTTTCTTACCTTTTCAATAGCTTGTTCCCCTTCCGGAATAGCGCGTGCAGTTCCTATTTCCATTTGTGTAATGTTCTCCCAGATTCGGCGAGACATTGTATTCGTGGGTTTTTCTGAAATAAATAAATAAATAAATGCACTCAGAGACTAGTGAAGGAAAGTCAGAAGATAGATGAGTGAGTGCAAATGTGAATTGCGACAAGGAATACATTTTGAGGATGTGGATAAAGAAGAATATAATTATTAAAAGAATTTTTATTAATTTTCTGAAGTTTTAAGTTCGGTTAAATCCTCTATTTCACATTCTCCAGAGAATTTATCGCTATCTGTTGCTTTCTTTTCTTTTTTTTTTTAAATAGCCGATTTCAGCCGATACAGTCTTCGGCTTTCATCAAGTTATATTGGAACTAAAACTTTTATCTATTCTAAAACTTGCGTTGCGTTAATTCTGAAATGAGTAAAAAAAAAAAAATAAAAATATTTTGAACATTGGTTCCCCAGATGATGTTAAAATAATATTGATACTTTCGCTTTTTCAACAATTGGAACGCGTATATTCGTGTCATCGCAAAAGATGCTGGAATAATGTTAGGTTCCTTGACTCGCTCCAGAATGTACCTGAATATTGCTACCATATTCTATCGTTACAAGAGTTAGATTAGACCACGAATAGAGTATTGTTGCCATATTCTACCCAACTCCCACTGTCCAACATCGACAGAATTCAAAGGGGCTTACGCAGCCTTGTGAGTGATGAATTATTCTCCACTTTACAACCATTATCCCACTGACGAAATGTTGCCAGCCTTTCACTACTACATTACTATTAGTATAGTAGATGTTCAGACCAGTTATATTCCTTAGTGCCAGCAGCTCAGACCTTCACAGCTGGGCCCCACTATGCCATGTTCATAGTGGCAAACCATTCCCATTCTCTTCGTGTTCCTTTGATAAAAACAAGTTCCACTCAGATAGCTTCTTCTTCAGAACTGTTAGTTTGTGGAACAAACTCTCGAGAGAATGTTTTTCTGACAACTGCAATTTTAGTGACTTTAAGTCCAGGCTCAACCGATACTTATTCTACTCGTCTTCACAATACTTTCTTCCACCTTCCTTACAACAATCTCACTCAATAACCCTCTACCTTGAGTGGCCCTTGGGCCTTGTATTGGGCGAACTAAGAGTAAAAAATACGAATATACACAGAACTTTCCATCATCAGTTATAATCTTCTTTAGACCCTATTTCAAAAGGTGTAGTATCCTTTTCGCTCCACAACTTTTTTCATAACAGCTTTTGTTTGTTTTATCGGGGAATGGATTTAATTCATTTAAAACATGTTTATATTAGGAATCACTTATATATGAATTATTATATTATTATTCCCTAAATATGTTACGACATTCTTATCAGTGGCTTTCAGAGTCACAGATCACAATAATCTTTTGTAGATTTCCTCTAGATCTGTGATTCTCAATGTTAGTATAAGGAATTTTAGCGTCTTTCTTGCGGTAAAACAAATTGATTTGGAAATTTTTGCAAAAATAAAATGATTGTCGGACTTTAATGAAATTTTCAAGACTTATTCAAAAATGAATTAAATTTTGTAAACGAATCCATTACATTCACTTACGGGCTAATACCCTTGGGAAAGATATGAATCCTCTTTTCTCTCCCACCCCCAGCTATGGGTAAATAGCAGGAAAAACAACTAATATCTAAGACGCCTTGGACGACAACTGGTCTAGCACAGAAAGAAATGGCAACCTACTGCGGGGAAAAATCTACCTCGTCAGTCATGTATCAAAAAGATACATGATCGTCTAAGCGTGTATCATGCATGGCACATAACTGACTGAAATTTAAACAATTTTTGTTTCCATCTGTTACCCCCCCCCCACTTAAATTAAAATGTCACACACTTTCATATTTATATTAGTTAAAAGCAGGAATCCCTGGAGAATTTAAATCATCATCATTTTTTTTTTTTTTTTTTTTTAGAAAACGTTAGTGTAGGAAATCTTAGCGTCTTTTTGCGGTAAAACAGAAACACCATTTACCGAAAATCTGTTCCGGATACGTAAAATAAAAAAAATCCAATAAAACTATGATATTATTTAATTAGAAAAGCTTTTGATTACTTTTATAATTAAGATATATTAAGAACACTATCGTGTTAAGAGATTTCATTTTTTTATTTAGAATAATTTAAGTTTTAAATCTTTTAAAATTCTGTATTAACACCACTCTTGTACAAATCATCAAACACCAATATTTTTAAACGAATTTTGAATTTTTTTTGTATGTGTATAAACGTACTGATTTTGTTATATATGGAAGTTCATACACGACATTATCAAAAAATAAGAGTGGCAACTATAGTAAATTTAAAGCCAAAATATCTAAAATTAAATAGAACATTAGATTATTTTCCTAAATTTTTAAGATTACTGAGTACTTAAAAATTATATATAAAAGGCGCTCACGTTATATTGTTCAATTATTTTTTTACGGATAAAGCACCAGTAGAACACCATTAGATAAAAATCTGTCATCAAGCTGCTGTCACCTGAACAGCTTAAATAAACAGCTACTGCTGTGTTAAAAAATGCATTTCTGTGATATTTTAAACTTAAAGTAAATAATATTTGTTTCAAATCGGATTAATTATACTTTAAATGAGCTAATACTCCTCAAATAAAGTTTCTGAAAAGCAGTTTTTATTTTTGGAAGATTTTTTTGTGCTGAAAGACGACTAAAAAAAAGGCCGTTAATCAGTTATTTTAGCAAAAAAAAAAAAAAAAAAACTCTTTCGAGTCAGTTTAAACTGGTTTAAAATTAGTCTTTGAAATACAGCAAAGTATTTTGTTTATTGGAAATATTCAATTTAATCTATTAGCTTGAAAGTAAAATACAAGCTTTAAGAAAGATTTTCATTTTTAAAAATTAATTTTAAACCTTAGGTATCACGTTTTCATTGGAGGTAACTACTTTGATAATTGAAATTAAATGTAAAAAAAATCTTTATTTCAATGGGTCATAAAACTTATTTATGCCCAGGTTCTCTCAGGGGTAAAAATTACTATTTTTGGATTTAAAATTCTTCCCTTCGAATTTAAGTATCTCTAGTTTGAAAATTACTACTCTAGATAATGTTGCGTGTTTAATAAAATACTTTACCTGAATAAAACTGATCCTGGAGTTCTGTTGAATGTTGTTTACAGTCAGATACTTGCATTTAGGTTTCATATAAGCAAATGAAGCTAAACAACTTCAATGTATCGGGAAATGATACAGACGAATGGGCACTCGACGAGCAAAAAGTAAAAAAAAAAAAAAAAAAAAAACGTACGGTCTATTTAGAGGAACAATGAAAGAAAAAAAAGAGTTGGAAAAATAACGTTCCTGTATGATCACTGAAGTTAAGCAACGTCGAGCCCGGTCAGTAACTAAATAAGTGACCGCTTAAGAATAGCAGGTGCTGTACGTTTGGATGTGTGGGTAGTGAAATGGATAACGACTTGGGATTGTTAATTAGAGCCGAGTTCCAAAGGTTCGTTATATTCACTTATGTGTAAATACTCTTAGAAAAATTATGAATCCACCTCTTCTCCCCAGCTGTGGGTTAATTAGTAAAACTTGTATCACTAAACCATTATCCCCCCCCCCAAAAAAAAATTGATTTAAAATTTTTTTCTGGCTTTAAATAACCTGCAAGGAGTTGATAAGCCGTAGATAGAAAACGAATCAATCAATCAATCTATTAGTAAGAAGAAAGTATACACCCTTGTGCAAATTAATTGATACAACCGCTTTAGTTTCCTTTCTTTCACCATACGATCAGTTTTAGACCCACTGGAGTGACAGGGTATAATCGATTTCTATTTTTTCCTCGGATTAGGTTATTTGCAATGGTATGCAGTAATATGAATTTATTTTCGGGGTGTATGATGAAATTTGTTTGGTCTTGAAAAATATTACGTCATCCGTGATTGCATCAGATTTTTATCACGCTCAGACACTATTGTCTCGACTCTCGATTAGTTTTCCTATGACCATTGTCTGCGATGGCCGTTACTCCAAGGAAGCGTATGAAAATTGTAACGCTGCACGAACACACTAGCAAGCCTTACCAGTGAGCAAATCAAACTACTATCGATTGACCCGGAAACTCTCCTGATTTAAATCCAATCAGGAATTTGGTCAATCTACTAGGAACAACTTCGTGGAATGGAGACACGAAGTACTAACATGTGTACTGGGTTATGTTTCACTGGAAAAATATAAAAAAAAATTAAATAATAACGGAATTATTCGTTTTGTTTCAATTAATTTGCACAAGGGTGTAACTTCTTCCCATGCGCCGTTACTTTGTGGAACTAACACATAAGAGGATGCTTTATCAACTACTACAATCTTAACTTCTTCAAGTCTATGGTTAACTGTTATATTTCCTCACATATCCTCTTAAACTGCGCCTCTTATCTCTTACTCATACAACAACCTACTCCAGTAACCTTCTACACTGAATGGTTCTTGGGTTTTCATATAAAGAATAACATGACGTAAAAAAAACTATATCAAAAACTTTTTGTGGCATCCCAGTGCATTAAGTGTGTTGTTTAATTTCAAGTTTCTTTTTATGTTTGTATATATTTTTCTTTAAACTTTGGGATATTTTCCCCAATGCATTTAAAAGGCATTGTTTACATCCTGCTTCTGATGTAAAGTTAGTTTCTTATGCTTTGATTAAATTTTCAATAGTTTTAGAATCGTTTGTGATACATTTTATATTGACATCAGCTTAATTTCTCAAGTTTATCAGTTGTGGAGTTTGTAGGTAAATATAATGTGGTTAATTTTTGTGTTTCTACATTTATTTTCTGTTCTGTTGATTTTGCATGCTTTTCGTTTGGCATTTATTTATATATGAAATAACTGGGATAGTTTAGGATTTTATTGATAATAATGCTTAAAGGATAATCCCAAGTTCCCACTACAAGAACTGTTGTCGCTCAGATGTCAAGCTTACCCTTTTCAGACATTGAATGGAATTCATATTCCAGATGATGTTTCCCGCTGTTGTCTTCGCTCACCATCTTTCGCATCCGGCGAACGTCATTTTCGTAGCGTTTTATGAGAGTAATGGCATTTTTAAACTCGCCAGCTGCGAAATCCGTCACTTCTTTCACCGGTTCTGCGGTAGAGACTCTTATTATCTATAGACATAAATAAAATAAATAAATTAGAAATTGGCAACGTGAAGTATATATTATTTAAATTAATTCATCATTGATCAAGCAATGTTTGATAAGAGATCATATGGGAAAGAACAAATGTCGACTGATAGTTTCTTAGCTACTAATAAAATTGTTCTCAACTTATATATATATATTTAATTAATTCATCGAGTCTGATAGAAACCTCAACAGAATGCAGAAAGCACTGGACGGCCTATATTTGGGACTCATCAGCAGTGCGCATCCACTACCAAGAATTGAAACCCTGACAGTTAGGTTGTCAAGCAAACATCATACCAACTGTTCTAATGGGCCTCGGTGACGAAGAGATTGCAAATCAGACTCAATATAGCGCTGCTCGCTCACATATTCCGTGGTGGAACTCTACTGAGTTCTCTGTAACCATAGGACTGTGCCCCTGGAGCCTAATCTCTTCTTGCAATCTCTCATTAATTAAAATATATATATATAATAATATATATATATATATATATATATATATATATATATATATACTAACTAATTTTTTATATTCCTGACCAATGACAATCGTTTTTCTTCTGTCCAAATTTCTGGGATGAGGAGTTAACATTGTTTAGATTATTTACTGTTTGGCTTATGTTTTCATTTTTGTTGTCATCACAATGTTTCCGACGTTGCGCTCTCTGGCCTTCTTCAGATGTCTGTCGATCCCAGTAACCTTCAGGGAATTGCAAACTGAACCTTTTAATCTGCAACATGGACAGTCCTGACATATAAGACAATTTGTAAAACCCGTTTGGCATCATCAGAAAAATCGTTTTATTTCACAAATTAGTGCGAGGTAACGCGAATCACGTTAAGTGAGTGGTTTTTACTTTAAACTCTGTCGTTATAAAATTAGATGTTGACTCTGTTTTTATTTACTATATAACAGAAAGCATTCAAAATCTAAAAAAATAAGGACGCGTTCTTAGTTAAATTGCTTAAAGAATCTGATCACATGCCAAAGTTGGCGTCGATGAAGAAGTATATGTTTGAATACGTATTGAATTTTGGCATCTGTTTCATTTTTATTTATGCCGTGTCATGACATACGTAATAATTAGCGAAAAATGTCAGTTTTTCTTTTACTCACACATCTTATTCATTGATAATATCTCAAGATGCATAAACAAGTACTTTAACTTATTAATCGGATACAAATGTTCCAAGAACTAAAAACATATTTGAACACTGAATACAAAACAGAAAAGTTTTTCTTTTTTAATATATATATATATATATATATATATATAGAGAGAGAGAGGGGGGAGGGGGTTTCCTTCACAAAAGCAACATTAAATTACCAGACAACAGGAAACACTTTGTGTCAACACATCCACAGGTGTAACAAAGGTACATTTAAAATTAAGCCAATATATCAAACAGACGATCACTCTTACCTATAAATACAAAAAAAAAAAAAAAGTTCATAGAAAAAATTTAAACCAACATTAAAACAAATAACTCCACACACATAAACACACACTATCCACACATCGTGGCAAAAAAAAAAAAAAAAAAAACACTTGCTGGACCACACACCCACACCATACAAGATACATATAGTTACTGTATAGACTTCTTTATAATAATATACTACAAAGTATATGTATAGAGAACGAATATATACGCATATACTGGCAAAAACAAATTCACTAGATGGACCACACACACATGAAACCTACACACCATACAATGTGTGTGTGTGTGTATGTAAATATATATATTTCCTTATAATAAAACATTATATATGTATGGAGAAGGAATATATATACAAATACTAGCAAAAACACACAAACGCATACACAAAAATGGAGAAAGGTATAAAAAGATAAGAACAAAGACCTTATTCCTTCCCCTTTCTCTAACCAATCCTAATTGTTTTATGACCGCTCAAGCGAAGGAATATTTTTCCGACATTCCAAAAAGAATTTGGATTAGTACCACACACAAAAGACTGGTTAAGCATAAGAAAAAAAAAACATTAATCAATTTAAATAATAACCATTAAATAACCATTCTTCACCTGATGAAAGTCACAAGATCCGAACCCCGTGTAACAAAAAATAGGTAAAATAACGTATAATATATTTTAAAAAATCCACATCATAACTGAAAACGTTTTCGGCTTGTCTTTTATATATATATATATATATATATATATATATATATATATATATATATATATATAAATATATAATAAAATTAAAAGTCTCCCTATCGGGTGACATTTAATCTAGCTCCTGTGGAGGACTCTCGATTGGGCCTTTCGCTTATTCAGGAGTTTGACAGTCCCTAAGTCTTTGCATATTGTCAGCATTGGAAGCTCTCTTGGCTGCCGTTTGAGCTGGGTTCTCATTTGCACTTTCTTTTCCTCCCTGTAGCCTTGGCTCTTTTGATTGCAATTTGGTCCTCTGTTGGCGGAGATTTCTTTTTGCGAGGTATGCTGCAGCCGTATGCGACAGAAGAAATTTTTTAAAAAATCCCCACATTTAAGTATTGCATTAATATTTAAGCTTACAGTTTAAAAGTTCAACGATAATTCTTCTACCGCCACTTAATTTAAAGAATATGTAATGTGCGTAGGTCCTTACTTTCCGTAAAAAATAATCATTTTTATTTTATGGGTGACTTTCGCTTGATTTCGCAATTAATTTCAATTATTCTCAAATTTATTTTCAACTTATAAAAATTGTTATCATGTAAAAATAATCGCCGCAAAAATCACGTAAAAAATCGCAGAAAACAAATTTGAGAATCCAAAATTTTTGTAACATGAGCTATTGAAAGTTAGAGAGTTGTGTCCCTTTAATTGAAAAAGTGTAACATTGACATTATATATAAAATGTAAATTCACTTGTCTTGGGGCGGTCGTCGTTTTCTTTATAAAGTTTACTCGATTGTGGAAGCCAGTAGATGAAATAAACATTGTTTAAAAAACGGATATCCACTGAAAATAACGTTTGAAGTAATAAAAATATGTCGGATTATAAAATAAAACCGATTAAATATTTAGTAAAAAAATATTTTAAAGAAATATATTTCTAAAGAATTAATGGATTTATTTTTAATCTGGAATTTTTATTACTACAAGCGTTATCGTAGTGGGTACTTCGTATTTGAAATAGACGCTTCATTTTTATTTATTAAACAATCTGTATTACGCCTATTTCAAATACAAAGTATCGATAACAATAACGTTTGAAGTAATCAGTCAGTTATGTGCCATGCGTGATACACGCTTAGGCGATCATGTATCTTTCGATACATAATTGGCAAAGCAGATTTTTTTTCCCGCAGTACATTGCCATTTCTTCCTGCGGTAGACCAGTTGACATCCAAGGCTATAGAACTATAGCTGGGGGGGAGGTGGAGGATTCATACCTTTCCCAAGGGTATTAGCACGTAAGTGAATGTAATGCATTCGACCGGAATTCGAATTCGGCTGTCCGATTCCATTACTCCACCGTGCCTCCTCTTGAAGTAATATATATATCTCCAAATATAAAAGAACGTAAGATTTCAGCATTCAAAACATTAATTTAAAACAGGGTTCAATACAAAACTAGAGCAATATTTATTTATTATGCAGTGTTACATTAGAACATGTACATACCCACTACAAAACTGTACATTTTGTTTCAACGTTAAAATCTTTTTTTTAACGTTTCATCAGGTGAGCATCGTGATTTCCCACCTGATGAAACGTTTTTTTTTTGTTTTTTTTTTTAACGTTGAAACAACATGTACAGTTTTGTAGTGGATATGTGCATGTTCTAATGTAACTTATATAAACAAATGCTGGAAGCTTTTTTTGCACATTTGACATATTCTGATTTTCAAATCTACCGGAAATGAGCAAAGGTTTAGGACTATAAATCGTTCCAAAACAAAACAAACGAAAAAAAAAAAAAAAAAACAAACAAAAAAAGGTCAAAGCGTAAGAATTACTTTGTAAAGCAACGAAAACTGAAAATAAACGAAAACTGTTCCTAATTCTGTACTCAAGTGAATCTGATGACGTGTCTGAGTTTTTTTTTTTTTCTTTTTAAATATTCACCAGATCAATGCTACACATGCAATAATCAAGGTAACTGATAACTTTGACGTGTTTATATGCATTCTGCTGGTGATATTAATTCTTCCTTCAAAAGAATTTTAAATAAATTGTAAAACATTTTCATATGTTAGTACTAGTTACACTGCATTTCTATAGAAAAACCGTTAGTAATATATTATACGTATAATTTGCCACGCATTTCTCTAGTAATTTAATTTCCAATCCCGGGTAACTCAGTCAGCGAACCATGGGCATGCTAATTGGGAACCGTACAGAACTTGAGTATGAAGCTCAAGGAGCGGTCACGAGGTCAGCATGGAGGTCAGCCCCAAGAACACAGACACACAAAACCCGTGTGTGACATGTTTGAAAGGGGAGATGCACAAACATTCCCAAAGCAAGATTCGACAGCATTCCGAAACAAAAGACACCCGAGAAAAGCCAGTGTACACGGTCGAAATGTTGAGGAAGAGAAAGAACAATGACGAAATATGTCACTAGAATGAATGAATTTTGATATATTTGTTTCTTCCCGTGGTATCACTTATTCCATAAACAGAATTAAAATATTTTACCAGATATCTTTATATAGCAAACCTGTCAACAGTCCATTTATAATTTGTCACGTATTTCTATAGCAAAATTTCCAAGGAAGTTCAATGCATTCTTTTAATATTTGCCACGTCACTACGTCGGCAGTCATTTTAGAATGAATGGAATTTTATCTATTTAATAAACCCTTCACACGCTCTCGTAGCTTACAACAGCAAGTACAGTTTATAAAACCGCTTTAACCTTTTAAACCCTGGAATCTAACCACTTGCCGATACATTAACGGAGGATATTTTGAGTAAATTTCACTATTTCTAAACTGCCTGTTTAACAGAACAAATCAACAGTGAAGAGCAAAAATGGCCACTACAAAGTTGCTCTAATGAACAGCCATATTAAGCTGTGTCATTCTTTTCCGTTAATAGACACTCGAGACAGGACCAGATTTAGATGAAGTGAGACAAAATGGAAGAGTATTAAATTAAACAATTTGAGTAAAGCCGAGGATGATGACGGGTGTTTAAAATTACTGAAGGGTTGTTTAGAATCTACAATTCGTTATGGCATCATGTGTAAAAAGGCCTATGACTGTGTCATGAATATTATACACCATGGCTGGAGGTCTCCTAGATGTTGAGGCCCGAGGTTGTTGATTTTTTGTTTTGTTTAACGGCATATCAACTCCTTATGTGTCATTGAATGCCGAAATTTTATTTTCTTGTGAGCTTTGGTAATTTTTTTCTCCAAAAATGTATAGCTGGTATTATTTTTTTTTTTTACTATGAAAACGGTAATTTTTTTCTAATGTATTTTATTTTATATTTTCATGTTTTGATCGCAGTTTGTTCATAGTTGGTGCTGGTTCATAACAGGTGCTACCACCACAGGTCCGGGTGGACCTGGGAACAACAGTAATTAAGAGGTGGCTCCTCAAAATTTCCAATCTCCCGATCAGAGGCCTTGCTGCCGGATGTAGTTTATCGTCATACCCAGGACGATAAGTACTTAGGCTTCAGCCTTCTAAGCCTATAAGGTAAATCCAGCACCGGTGTTATGAGCTCAACGGTTAAAACAATTAGCAGAAAAATTTAGTAAAGAATTTTGATCATTTATAATTTTTGTCCCCACCCACACACTTATATATATGAAGACACTTGTGAACTTACGCGTATCGATTCCGGAATTGTGACTGCTTCACCGATTACTTCTATTTGTTCGGATAAGAGAGGCGGCGATAAATGCAGAGACTGGGCTGCATTTCTGACTGTATTATCTTTGAACACCATCTGAGCGATGATCAGTTCGTACGTCCCGTAACTCCGTTTCTTTAAGTAATAATCTTTCTTGTAGTAATGATCGTAACCTTCAAATGGGCGCCAGTCGATTTCCAGCTCATCTGTTCCGGTTTGGTAATATTCGACGAACGCTCTTGTATATGTTGTTTCGTTGAAAGAGATCATTTCCGCTATCTCAACCTTAAAAAAAAAAAGAAGATATTAACATGTAAAGGACCAGAGGACACTAATTAATATTTTCACTATCTGTCTATATTTTGAGATGAGATATTGTCATATTCACGATGTTTCGGCTGTTGTACGCTTCGGCCTTCTTCAGGTGATATATGTTGGACTTTCGAACCGATTACTTCAACCAACGCTTTTATCCACTGGGCCAGCGTTGGTTGAAGTAATTCAGTGATTTGTGAGTTCAATACCTGGCCACAGCAGAAGTGAACGAAAAACTTGGAGAGTTGAGTTACTAAAAGGAAATAACTGAGACTCAGATATCCGGAAGAGGCATGGCTCGTGGAACTAGTACAACGGCCGAAACATCGTGAATATGACAATAAAGGCCAACAGCCCGAACGATGTAAATAGTGAAAATATTGCTTTCAAACTTTATATATATATATATATATATTTGGTTGGATAGATGTAAGTTTGTGACCTGGGTTTCACGCTTTTTTAGGATCGTCAGACAAACTGATTACTGTTTTAAAAATTTGGGTTTATGTGATTGCGTGTATTGAAATAGTGAGATCGTACTAACGCAAACATCGATGTATGCAAATAAACATATAAAATATAATGAAGATTGGTCGTCCGTCGGGACTCATACATATAAAACAAATGTTTATATAAATCTAAAAAGTTCAGAAAAATTATAATTTGATATAATAAAATCTCTGATTTGATTTCTATATATATATATATATATATAATTATACATATATATATATTTATTTATATATATTTCACTTTCACATATATATATATATATATATATATATATATATATAATTAGTTGAATTAGACCGTTAGGAAACAGGAGTATTAAAAACTGTGATAAAAAGAACGTATGTATATTTCATCTAACCCCCCACCGATACATTTACAAAAGACTTGATTTCCCCTCCTACTCCTCACCTTCTACCACGCCTCATCGTGCGCTTATTGATTCATTTTTTTTAATATAGCGTTCATAATTTATTTTTATTTTTTTTTAAAAATAAAGCGTTAAATAATCAACTGACATTTAATCGCCTGAAGATACCGAAAGGCTGAAACCAAAGTCTGGAATCGTTGATTTCTAATTTTCTATCCTCTCTCTCTCTCTCTCTTTCTATATATATATATATATATATATATATATATATATATATATATATATTTATAATTTCCTGGTGAGCGTAGTGGGATCAATGAGCCCAGTTCAAATTCTCAGCCGGGAGTGTTGCATTCACTTTCGCACATTTAGTATGAATTCATGTCTTCTCTTAATTATGTGTTAAATGGGACAGACTGGAATCTCTCGCCTTGGTTGTCATCAAGCTTAAAAGAAAGACAATATTGGATTCGAAACTGCTGAGGCTAGAAACTCCATCATCACAGGAGGACCAGCTAAGCCTGGTTTGCTTATGGAGTCAGGGAGGTGATGTTAGGCAGGCGATCACGTCGTGCCTGAAAACCATACCACGGATGCCGTCAATGTTTGTGCTACAACGAAGTCAGATGTCATCCTGACCGAGGATTTGAACGTATTGGTCCTGTTCAAACTGTTGATCACGCCTGATCATGCGCTCAATCCCAGAAATTGTAACCGATCAGAATAGCTGTAGTATAAACCACGGGTTGGCTCTATGGACGTGGAACAAACACAAAAAAAAATGTCCGAGCAGGCTTTTGCAACAGGGTTTTGGTGAGTCGCCCTAGCGGGCTGGTGTACTCGGAAACAAGTAGCTGGTTATTACATAAATAGATAGAGCAACACACAAATCGAAACTGAGATATAAACATTGCATGAAGAATACCCTGAAGAAGCTCAACATCATACAAAATGACTGGGATAACCTAGTTCTAGATTGTGCAGGAAAGCGGTGCAAAATGGTAAGAGATACGTTGAACAGAATCGTCTTGAGCACGAAAAACTCAAGAGAGATGTTCGTAAGGGTTTTAATGTTAATTTTCCTAAGAATGTTGACACAAAATTTGATATAATGTGTAATGAATATAGTCGCGTCTAAGTAAGGAAATTAACATCAAAACCCTTACAAACATCTCTCTTGAGATGTTTATTTCTTTTTTATACAGTAGAACTTCGACTCACGAATTTAATTCGTTTCTGAAGGCTGTTCATAACCCGAAATATTCGTAAATCCGAAACTATTTTTCCAACAGGAATCAATGAAGAGAAAAATAAGTCACAGTACAATAAAATTGGAAAAGAAAAGCACAGTACAATACATTTATGTATACAACACGGCGGTCGACTCAAATTATTCCGTTCGTGTTAACTCGGTTCGGCTATTTTGTTCGAGAACCGAGGCATTTTCATCTCGAATTTTCTGTTCGAAAACTGATTTGTTCGACATGTGAGACGTTCGAGAACCGAGGTTCCCTTGTAATCGGTTGAACTTTCAATACGTGGCCTCAAAAATCGTCCAAGATGTTACACATTGAAAGTTCATTAGAATATAAAAAATATAACTACTACAAGCCGTGCCACATTTGCGCAAAAAATGTAGGACACTTCTTCTTTATGTGCCGTGCCCCCTCACGACGGAAGCGATCATGGCTCTCCACAATTTCCTATCCCTTGCAGCTCTAAATAAATACTGTCTTTTCTTTATTTCTAAACTTACTTCCCTCATCCATTTTTTTCAAGCTCCTATGTTATGCGTTGTTTTCTTCTGTCCCTCTATGTCCTCAATCTGTCCTGTGAATAACAAAATTTCCAATTCCTCCTCCCTTATTATGTGCCCCAGAAATGTCAAATGTGTTTCGTGATGTTAAGTATAAGTTTTCTTTTGGTTTCCATTTTCTTTAAAACCTCGTCGTTCCTTACATGGTATTCTCAGCATCTTTCTGTAGAACCACATTTCTGTCGCTTGAAGTTTTTTCATTTTTGAGGAAATTGTCCAGCATTCACTGTCATTCAGTGGTACAGATAACACGTAACTGTTCAGTACTCTTCTTTTTTTTTTTTCGTTGTAAGACCATAGCAGGATTTTAAAAAAAAGAAGCCATATACGCTGGAAGTTTTGTACCAATGCTTAATCTTGTAAACGTCGTATTGGAAATGGGTGCATAGCTGGGCAGTTAGAACGCTAGCATTCCGACTATTAAAACTGAGTTCGAATCTCATCGTAGTTGATTTGTCAAGGAGGTGACTTCTTGAAATTTAAATTATCGTCCTGGGGAGAGGATTCCAGCGTTGAGAAGTACCTGAAAACTCTATGTGAGTGAAATTGGGTTTGGACTCGTCGATGATAGGACTAGAACGAAGTCACAAGTAATCATGGCCGAGTCCTTATCGTATAGACTCGTGTATAGGTCGACGTCATGTCTAGTGCGATTCTTGAATTTTTTGGCATGCATTTTAACACCTCCAAAAAAAATTACCTGTGTATGATTTTTCCCTAATTTTTTTTTTTTTTTTTTCCGTAAAAAAAAAAATTGATCAAAATCCCTATACTCGAATACACGGTATCTATAGTTCGCCACTTCATTTTTTCTTAATCACTCCAAGGTTGTTATATATATATATATATATATATATATATATATATATATATATATATAGATATAGATAAATGATAATAGTCATATTAGCTGTTTCCTTATAAAAAAAATTCAGCACTCATTGACCCTAGCAGATCTGATGAAATTTAAAAACCCTTCTATTTAAACAATTTGTCAGGAAAATAAGATTTCTTAAATTATTAGTTATCGCTCTTTACTTATTATTGTTCTTTACAGTATTGATGGGAATTTCCTTCCTAACCTTTTATTTGAACTAGTGTGGAATGGTAACATCTTGATTATGTCATTATTTCCTCTCCAAGTTACATGTGCTATCCATTTTAATTGTTGCTGCTTTTGAAAGTCCTCAAGTAATGTGATTTCTATTATTTAATTGACATTGTCAACACTAGTTTTGACCTTCAAAATAAAGAAATACTGAAAATAGTGCAGAAATCGTTTATTCCTGTGAACTTTTATGAGGCCAGAGGGCTAACCCAATGCCCAAGGAGCTACATCCTTAGTTCATAACTTTACAGTTAAGACCCGCCATGCCACGTCCACAGGGCCGAATCATCCTCATGCTCTTCGTATTCCATTGGTAAGAATGAACTTCTATTCGGATAGTTTCTTTCCAGGAGGCGCTGCTTTGTGGAACAGAAAGGATGCTTCTTCGGTCACTACAATATTCACCTATTCAAGTCTCGGATCAACCGTCATCTACTTTCAACAACCTCATTCAGTAACTCTCTGCCTTAAGTAAGTCTTTGGGCATGTATTGGTTAACAACAGTAAAACAAAATGTTGGACTGCATTACAGATATAAAAAATCCCATTTGCCCATAGCTGAGAAAAGAAGGGAATTTAAAACTTTCCTAATGTGAAATTAACGGAAACTGTCCCAGCCGGAGTTTGAACACTGTTCACCGAGTTCCGTTCTTCACAACGATAACCCATCTACACCACCAGTGAAGAAATTAAAAAGACAAAAACAAAATCAAAACTTACTGCCAGGCACTCTCCTTCGTAGAGCAAACCCATGTAGGAAGCGGCCTTTCCGTCACACAACGCGATATGGGTTAAAAGGTTTTCTTCTGTCAAGCTCACAACAAATGATTCATTCACAGGATTCGATTCGTATTTCGATTTCCCTAATTTATTTAAAGCACTGCAAAATAGACAGAAAAAAACAATTAAGAGAAATTGCTGCAAGAAAACAAGTTTGAATAACCGTTCAATGTGGCATCATCTTGATTTTTTTCTTTATTATATAAAGCTGAAAGCATCATCAGCCGTTCCTGACCAGTATTCCTTTCATATTTCAGTTACTTTATTTGCATCAATAATTTTAGTAGTAATATCGTGAATTCTTTGGTTAGATGAAGTAGAATTAACCATGATTAATACTGATTAATATTTATTTTAATTTAATCTCACTTATTTATAGCGCAGTATCTGAGACGTTTAAGATGTATACAGATTATTATTTCTTTCTGATGATAGCAATGTTCCGTAATTAAATCTGTTTTCATATTACTGGTTGGCCCAAATGTTAGTTCGGTTTATCTTGTAAACGTAAGATATGTTAATTTTAAATTCAATGATTGAACAAAATATTTACTGTTTTGTTACCTTATCTCTTGGTGTCTTTCAACCAGCTCCATAATTCCATTCTTCTACCGAGAAATTTCTCACTAAAGAATGGTTCAAGATGCTTTCTGCAGACTTTTAGGGAATTAAGATATTTTTCTTTTATACAGGGTTGCTCAGTTCTTTGAGAACATTTGTATGTATTTTGTAAAAGAAGCGTAAGTCATGAAAGAAAAGATTTATTTGAGAAAAAATTCGTATAAATAACCTTGGGTCTCTTCTTGTCGCATCTACTTAACGAATTCGCCGTTAGTATCGATGGCTGCTTCAATATGAGTCCGGAAACGTTGACATATCCAAATCAGATAATCTTTATCTATTTCTGACATTGTGCTAGTTATGGCGAATTTCCTAGATTTTATAATGCTATGGGGGGCGCGTTGATGGATTTCCCTCTCGACTACGCCCCACATGTAGTAGTCCAATGGATTCAGATCTGGAGAGCTAGGAGGCCATGTTTGGGATTACCTGATCGTGGACTTTGTAACTAATCCATTCAGGGGTCGTCTTGGTCTTAGGACGGTGCATAGTCTAGTTGCTAGGTGTACGGACTTCCTTTGTTCACGTTCTCTATCCAAAGCCTTATAACCCTCTTCAGCACCTTATAGTCCTCAGCATTGACCCTTAA